ATCATTACAAGCATTCTTCAAGGCTAGCCCCATTTCGAATGTCTTGCAGTAGTCTAGTTATACTAACGAGATAAAAGAGCTAAAGTAAAAAATAGTTACATGAAATAATCTACATATGGGCAAATCAGAACATTGCAGCACTGCAATATTGCAGATAAATTACACAATTTTAAAAACTGAGCTGCACAGGTTATTAGATGCAATTCTCGATTCTAGCTATCACATTTAAAACTCTTCATGGCACAGGACCAGGCTGTCTGAGGGATCCCTTAATTCAAACAGCCTCTGCCCATTTGATACAATCAAGCAGAGTGGATGAACTCGGAATCCTATAAATTAAACAATGGCATCCAATGTTGCGGCATCTATTTTCTGGAACAGTATCACCCTACAGATTTGTATGCTTCCCTTATGAAATAAGAAAATTATTATTATTTTTGTAAATTTCTTCTTCAAGACCTTAAGATAGAATGCTTGTCCTTTAGTTTTGTTAACAACATTCGGTTTCTAATTTGTGTATTGTCTCTGGATGGCTGTGACCTTCTGTTCTGTTCTCCACAATCATCAAGGCATTATGCATGCTCAAAGTTTGATAAAAAAAATAATTAACTAAAATAAATTGACATTTTTTTCTTAGAGTATCAAAGACTGTGAGGTTTCAGGGTCATACAAATCATTTGGGATTTCATATGACAGAGCTAAAATCCCATCAAATTTCAAGTGGTATCAAATCTCATATGTGTGATTTCAGCATACCTAAGATCAAGGAAGATCTCAAAGGTAAGATAACAAAGAAGGTAAAAATGTGCTGATCTTGGAAAATTTTGGCCATTTAATATAATTTTTGTTTACAATTTCTTGGGATTTGAACCACTGCATGAAAATCCAATTATCACAAAATCTTAATAAAATATACTTGAAAAGATTCTATAATAATTATTATAAAGGAAAGCCTCCTTTGGCTTCTCTGTTCTGCTGGGCTGATTTTAAGAAAATGATTTTTCCAATTTATAAAATTCAAAGTGCACATATTTTTGTAGATTTGAAGCTAGTTTTCAACGTTGGAAAAATGATAAAGCTCAGAATTGATTCCAGCACACTGAAATCACATTTGAAATCACAGGGAAAAAAATCCAATATGTCGAGTTTTACTTGGCAACTGTCATTTGTGTGCATTCCCATCAAAGGGGCTTTTCCTATATAAAAAACAGAAATTAAAGTCATATGTAATGATTTATCAGAGAGTATTTAGCAGAAGTTTATCGTTCCCAAGAATCATTTTAATAGTGAGATGTTGACCAAAATCTACTTTAAAAGATATTGTGTCCTATTTTTTTCAGTTCAGTGAGAAACAGAGGAAAAACAGACTCGTCACTGTCAAGAAAATGGAATAGCTGTAAGGTCTTGCCTGACAAAAGCCAGTTTATCGGAAATTGAAAGAAGTGCTGCATCTGAAGCTCCAGTTACAGATAGTAGGGATTAACCCAGCTGAAATATAAATGATGAGCTTGGAGAAGAACCAGTATTGTCAGAAATGGTGGGATTTATTATTCTTGTAGGCCACATCTAAATTTAACTAATTTTGAAAGACGATTCTGCTGTCACAAAATCCATCACCAAAGAGTTAAAACTTTGAACCTGATGAATACAATTCATGGCTAGATATGGCCTCTAATTCAAAAGATAATTTGCATGTTACAAAGAGGCAAATTAACTCCCAGGTGACAGCTGTTTCACTGAGTTCATTCTTGGCATTGGCTACCATGCTGGGAAAAACTAATCCAGTTATAAAAGGATTTAAAAAAAAAAAAAAAAGCCTTAGAGTGAAGAACTTAGAAAAATGCAATAACTGTGTTCTTAAAATGGACTATATTATTAACTAATTGTATTTGTCATTTATTTGTTAGGTAATGTAGAGTAAATATCAGAGATATGGAATTTTAAGCCCAAGTAGATATGGATCATTTGGTCTATCCACTGTACTTTTTACATGCACTGTAATACTATATTAACTGTGCTCTTTATTGCAAGTCTGTAAAATAATAGAAAAAAAATCTATTCCTATATTTTGTCCTAAAAATGCTATAGTTCTAGGTTGCTTCTCTCTTTGGTTAGTTTCCTTGCTTCTTGTCCTGCCTTCAGGTGCTTTGGAGAATAGTTTGACTCCCTCTTCTTTGTGACAGCACCTGAGATATTGGAACACTGCTATCATGTCCCCCTCATCCTTCTCTTCGTTAAACTAGACATACCCAATTCCAGCAACCGTTCCTTATATATTTTAGCCTCCATCCCCTAATCATCTTTGTTGCTCTTCTCTGTACTCATTCTAGAGTCTCAACATCTTTTTTACATCGTGGTGACCAAAACTGAATGCAGTATTCCAAGTGTGGCTTTATCAAGCCATTGTAAAGTGGTATTAACACTTCATGTGATCTTGATTCTATCCCTCTGTTAATGTAGCCTAGCACTGTGTTGGCTTTTTTGGCAGTTGCAGCACACTACTGGCTCATATTTAAGTGATTGTCAACTAGGACTCTGAGATCCCTCTCACAGTTACTACTGTTGAGCAAGGTATGACATAGTATACCTGTGCATTTGGTTTTTCTTGCCTAAGTGTAGAACCTTACTTTTTTCACCACTGAATTTCTGGATTCATACATTGGGTAAAGCTATAATATAGTTTTGGTTCAGGTGTTGTATGAATTACAGAATTGTGGAATTACAAAAATAATATAATTCAATCCTCTGCAATATTCTGGAAAACCAATCCTTGAGAAGTAGCTGTCCAACTTTAACAAAAAACACAATTAACTTTAGAAATGGAGAATCCACAACCTCTGTCAGTACCTAGGAAATCTAGGTAACTGCAGTTTATATCTAATCTGTTTTCATTTCTGTGGAAAATAGTTCCTAACCATCTTCCTGGTAGTATCTTTTTAAGTATATTGATATTGATATTATTCATCTTCTGTGTGTTTACTCCAGCCTGCATTTTGTATTTACCAAATTTAGACATTGCCAATCTCACTATCCAAATGACTCAGCCTCTCTTCTAAGGACATGTTCTCAAAGTGTTCCTTTGACATCCTTTTCTGAGCATTTTCCAACTTGTCAATATCTTTCTAGAAATGTAACCATCCTTTGTGTTTTTAAAACTATAATCTAGAATCAGGGTCTAACCTAAGAACAAAAAATTTAAAACAAAGGTTTTCACATTAGTAAATAATATGAAATTTTACATGATTTATTCCTTAATTCAGCAGAGCAGGACCTTTAGGGATGCTATTTTACATTATATCAATTCTGAAAAAAGTATTGCTTAAAAACAAAACACGTAATTCGTGATTTAGCAGATATGTGGAATAATACACAAGTCTTTCTTCATTTGACAGATGATATAGAACAGCATGAATCTGGCATAGAACAACCAAATATAAATACCCCTCCCCCCCCAAAACATAAGCATTTTGTATAGGATTGTGTATTCGTTAGTGTTCCATTTTCTACTACTAATATCTTTTTAAAAAGACATTTTTTTCAACATTGGGAGAAAATGCATTTGTTTTCCCTCTTACTGTACACCATTATGCAGGTCATTTTCTCTTTTTTCATGTTCCTCTGATTATATATTCTGATCATTTACGTAGATACTAACCATTTGATGTATAGCATCATGAAAGAAATGATCAAGAGTCTTAGGTACATATACAAACGATAAACCCACTTTTCAAAGTGCGTTGGAAACATTAAAATCTAATGTTTTTTCCCAAAGGAAGTGTTAGCAAAGCAGCTTTTCCTTATGCTCTAAAGTGGAGTAGTAAAGAGGATTTCTGCTAGGGTTCTTTGAATCAAGATCAGTTTGCATGCACCTTCCCTAATTTACATTATTGCTAAAGTACACTACTCAAGACTCCTTGAAGAAATAGTCTTCATCATCAGGGCAACTCCTGGAGGGTCAAAACTTCAACAGGGTGTTGCATGATTGAGGTTCTGACTCCTGACCCTATTTAACATTTGTGGCATATATGGCATATGTAAAAAAGACACAGAGCTTTTAACTGCACAAATGTCACACTAACTATTCTCTGAAAACATCTCAACTTATAATTATCTAATATGTTAAAAAAGAGATTTAATTGCTGTGTCAACAGAAGATTCATATATTTGTTCTTGGTAGTATGCAGCCTGAATGACACATTCAAGTGTTAAAAAAAACTGCAAGTATGTGTCGATCGAGGCTGCTGGATGCCATTCCCCAACAGATGAACATCATGCCACTGAGACTGGAAACATCTCTTAGTTCAAACAGAGAAGGGAGAAAAAAATTGGACATTCTTTCTGGGTAGAGATAATGGAGTGCTACTAAGAAATACATGCACAACGTTCTCTCAAGCTTTCTACCAGGAAAGGCAATCAAGCAACTACTTTTAAAAACCAGCAACAGGCAGTATGCTGCCTACAACCATCAATATACTGCTAAAACAAAAATCTCTGCCCCACCCTCTTTTCTTTACATATTATTTTAATTTTTTAAAAATCAAGAACTGGCTTTCAGCAAAGCAAAACATTCATTTCTATGGCCTATTAGTATTTTTGGACAGGCCTTATCCAGCATAGTGAACAGGCAAGACTCCTAAAACAATAATTTTGTAGTACATCTATCACAAGGGCTCAAAATCTGAAACAGTACTATAGCTCTCAGCCCCAAAGACTAGCCACATTTTAATTAATTACTCTCTTTGAAAAATGTGTACCCCCCTCTTTACAATCAACGTTTCCGATAGTAGCTTATACAGTAGTATATTCAAATATACAGAATAGTAAAGTCACTAAGCAATTCCTAACAATGTTCTTCATGGACTCTCTGTTTACCTTTCAGGAACAAGTATCCGTTATTTATGTTGCCCATGACCAGGAGAAGATGCTTCTTCAAAAGTGAAATCTGCCTCAAATAGCTACATTATAATAGATTTCATAAGCACAATAAAATTTTGTCTTACCTATAGAGATTTGAGATAAGTCCCTCCCTCCAGCGAGAACAAAGATTATTAAGAAGACGTTCATGGTGTCCAAATAAACATATGTAGTTGGAAACAGGAATAGATTTCTTTGAAAAGCAAGTAATGGTTTCTATTATGCTGTATTGATTGACATGTATTCTGAAGTAAGTTCCCTTTATCGCATCTCCTGTTGTGATTGCCATCCCCTATAATAAATTGAGAAAAGTGTTGGGACAACAGGCAAAGCTAGATCACATATCAATCTACTCACTCCAGGAAGAGAACAAGGAAGACAGGGAGGGAGGTTGGTTAGTAGAAAAGTGCTTTATATCAATGCCTTACAATAGGATTTCTCATTATACCACAAAGGTTATATTCCAACATTGTTATCAGCAGTAAGATTAGCTCTATTTAAATGTTCTGTCAGTTTCTTTACAGGAAAAGACTTCCAGGCAATGGAAGTCTTCTCAGCAGAATTACTTGGTACATATATATTTAACAGTGATGCATAAAAAGGCAAGAAGAACATAACTATTATATATATATATATATATAAGAAAAGAAAGAAGATTTCTTTCTCCCATATCTGGGCTGACAGGGTGTTCATTCAAGGTAAAAATCTCCTCCCCCTGTCTCTCTCCTGGTAGCTAACAAAGTGGGAGAGAACCCGTGGCTTAGAGGTTATAACATCTGCCTAACATGCAGATAGCCCAGGTTCGAATCTCAGAAGAGTAAGTTTGGCTGATGAGGGTTAAAGGAACCCAAAATAGCTATACCATTCTCTCTTTATTCTTTGTTAGCAAAAAACCTATATAAACTCCTTTTGGGCTGCCCTGCCATTCCTTGGCTTCGTGTTCGTGGTCGTGCTTCCTCTTCATGGAGGGTGTCAGTTTGCTTCATGTATGGATTGGGGGGGTTTAAAGTGGCTAATGATGCAGCTGTGGTCTGGCTAAGAGCAGCTCGAAGCACGAAGCTGAAAACACCAGCCTGAAGATGACGAATGGGACTTCGTCGAAACGTCGCCAAGACACTTCCAATTTTACGCGGGAGAAAACCCGAACAACCAAAGACCTACATATATATATATATATATATAGATATATATATATATGTTTTCTGAGGTTTTCGCGGGTGTTTGTATGTAGGTCTTTGGTTATTCGGGTTTTCTCCCGCATAAAATTGGAAGTGTCTTGGCGACGTTTCGACGAAGTCCCTTTCGTCATCTTCAGGCTGGTGTTTTCAGCTTCGTCGAAACGTCACCAAGACACTTCCAATTTTACGCGGGAGAAAACCCGAATAACCAAAGACATATATACATATATACATACATACATACATACATACATACATACATACATACATACATATATATATATTTGTTTTAGGGTGCTTATTAGTATTGCTAGCAAAAAAATCATGCATTTAATTAATATACTAGACTAGAGGACTGAAAGCACTGTAAACAATGTTGTGACAGTCATGTCATTACACCTCATGTAGCATTTTGACTGATTTGTCTGATTTATAGGCTTACTATATGTCCATAAGTTTTCTGAAAAAGAAAACAAATATCCCCAAGATACTTGTAATTCAAACCTCAACTGTTTATTACTCAGGGAATACTTACATAATTAGGTTGTGATTCTTGTACATCCAAGCGGGCAGGAATCCCAGGTTTAAAAATATGCACATAATGATATTTTCCAGGTAGAACACCACCTGTGAAAAACAATGTTTTCAAGACATGTAGATTATATAAAATCAGTAAATTTATTAATCATCAGGCCTTCAAAGTACTTTGTTATTTTTTAAAACCAATCCAGGGTGACTGGAAGAACAGACGAAACTTTGTTGCAATTCAATTGATGGCATGCACTGTAGTGGTTGCATGCTGGACTGAAGTTCTAACTTCAACCACTGTAATCTTTTCAAGAAATGCAAAATATAAATTCTGCTTTCTGTAAACACCACAGCTGAGAGGACCAGAATACTGGATGAATATTCAAGATCTTTTTAATAATGAAAAGGGATTACTGGATTCTCAGACCCGCTTCATGCTTGGCATAGGAGATGCCATGCAAATATGTTAAATGAAAAACATGACTGTATGACAAAGAAGTGAGGAAACAGATTTAATCAGGCAACGGGTTGGTTATGATTTTCTAATGATTTTTTTTATTTAACAACTAATTTGATCATAAGAATTGCAAAATGTGAGTTCTACTGCAACTCTTATCACTTCTTTTAAATAATTTTCTCTATTTGAAGAGAAAAGAAGCAGAAGGAAGAATGTGAGAAGAGAGGAAATTGTGTCTTCAAGAGTTCAACAAAGTAAATGGCAAAGTTTTGCCCAATTTTCTTTCATGTACTGTCCACAATAGAGGCTTTCTGGGCTGCTTGCAGATCCTGAAACTCTTAAGTGCACTGCCTCTCTGAGCCCCTAAAACTTGCTTCCTATGAAATGAGGAAATTTATTAAAAACATTAGCAACAATCAAGTTAATTCTATTTTAGACTGAATCAAATCAAAATTAGTTTTTCTCTTTCTCAGGTTACTGTTGTAATTTGAAATGTGGCCAAAACCAGAGCCAGTTCTGGACTTTCAGGCATCCTAGACAGTCATAGTCTGGTAACCCAATTGTTTGGCTCATCTTCCAATTTTGTTAGGAATTGCAAAAAAGACATTCTTGTTGTTGTTGTTGTTGTTCATGTTTCTGAGCATTATACTTATTATTTTCTGCCTTGGACTTTTTTCTCTCTCTGACATTTTCAATTAGAGTAGATTAGAATAACAGAGTTGGAAGGTACCTTGTAGGTCATCTAGTCCAACCCCCTGCCGAAGGAGGAGTACCTACACCATTTCTGATGGATGGCAGTCCAGTCTCTTCTTGAAAGCCTCCAATGATGAAGCACCAGTAACACCTGAAGGCAGTCTGTTCCATTGGTTGATTGTTCTCATTGTCAGGAAATTTCCAGGCTGAATCTCTTCTTGATCAGTTTCCATTCATTATTCCTTGTCTGGCCTTCAGGTGCTTTGGGAAATAGGTTGACACCCTCCTCTCTGTGACAGCTCCTCAAATATCGGAACACTGCTATCATGTCCGCCCTGGTCCTTCCCTTCACTAGACTAGCCATGCCCAGTTCCTGTAACAGTTCTTCATATGTTTTAACCTCCAGTCCCCTAATAATTTTTGTTGCTCTTCTCTGCACTCTCTCCAGAGCCTCAACATCATTTTTATAGTGTGGAGACCAAAATTGATTGCAGTATTCTAGGTGTGGTCTTACTAAGGCTTTATAGAGTGGTATTAGTATCTTACATGATCTTCATTGAATTCCTATATTAATGTAACTTAGGATTGCATTGGCTTTTTTGGCTGTGGCCACACAGTTGGCTCATATTTAATTGATTGTCCACTAAGACTCCAAGATCCCTCTTACAGTTGCTGCTATTAAGCCTGGTTTTACCTAATTAACTTCCACTATTAAATTATATTTAACCCCTAAATTATATTTAACCACTCTGGTTTACAGAATGCACTGTTACTATCTTTTGCTTTTTTATTGTGTTTTTTTGGAAGTCTTTTCAATTTGGGGACCCCTTAAAATTTGGCATCTTGAATGCAGAATTCCAGAGAATAGCTAGAAGAGATAAGAATGCCTTCTTAAATAAACAGTGCAAAGAAATAGAAGAAAACAACAGAATAGGGAGGACCAGAGATCTCTTCAAGAAAATTGGAGATATGAAGGGAACCTTTCATGCAAAGATGGGTATGATAAAGGACCAAAATGGCAGGGACCTAACAGAGGCAGAAGAAATTAAGAAGAGATGGCAAAACTACACAGAAGAACTATACAAGAATGAGCTTAACGTCCCAGATAACCACAATGAGATGGTCACTGACCTTGAACCAGACATCCTAGAATGTAAAGTGAAATGGGCCTTTAGAAAATCTGAGCAACAACAAAGCTAGTGGAGGTGGCAGTATTCCAGCTGAGCTATTCAAAATCTTAAAAGATAATACAGTAAAAGTGCTACACTTAATTTGCCAGCAAATTTGGAAAACTCAACAGTGGCCACAGGATTGGAAAAGGTCAGTTTACATTCCAATTCCAAAGAAAGGCAATGCCAAAGAATGTTCAAACTATCGCACCATTGCAATCATTTCACATGCTAGTAAAGTTATGCTTAAAATCCTACAAGCTAGACTCCAGCAGTATGTGGATCGAGAACTACCAGAAGTACAGGCAGGATTTCAAAGAGGCAGAGGAACTAGAGATCAAATTGCCAACATACGCTGGATCATGGAGAAAGCTAGGGAGTTCCAGAAAAACATCTACTTCTGCTTCATTGACTATGCAAAAGCCTTTGATTGTGTGGATCACAACAAATTGTGGCAAGTTCTTAAAGAGATGGGAGTACCAGACCATCTCATTTGTCTCTTGAGAAACCTATATGCGGGTCAAGAAGCAACAGTGAGAACTGGAACACGGAACCACTGATTGGTTCAAAATTGGAAAAGGAGTCCGGCAAGGCTGTATACTGTCGCCCTGCCTATTTAACTTATATGCAGAGCATATCATGAGAAAGGCAGGGCTAGATGAATCAAAAGTTGGAATTAAGATTGCCGGGAGAAATATCAACAACCTAAGATATGCAGATGATACCACTCTAATGGCAGAAAGTGAAGAGGAACTAAAGAGCCTCTTGATGTGGGTGAAGAAGGAGAGTACAAAAGTTGGCTTGAAACTCAACATTAAGAAAACCAAAATCATGGCATCCGGCCCTCTCAATTCCTGGCAAATAGATGGGGAAGAAATGGAGGTAGTGACAGATTTTATTTTTCTGGGCTCAAAGATCACCTCAGATGGGGACTGCAGCCAAGAAATTAAAAGACGCTTGCTCCTGGGGAGGAAAGCTATGGCAAATCTAGACAGCATACTAAAAAGCAGAGACATCACCCTGCCAACAAAAGTGCGTATAGTCCAGGCCATGGTTTTCCCAGTTGCAATGTATGGCTGTGAAAGTTGGACCATAAGAAAGGCTGAGCGCAAAGAATTGAGGCCTTTGAACTATGGTGCTGGAGAAGACTCCTGCGAGTCCCTTGGACTGCAAGGCGTTCAAACCGGTCAGTCCTAGAAGAGATCAACCCCGACTGCTCTTTAGAAGGCCAGATCCTGAAGTTGAAACTCAAATACTTTGGCCACCTAATGAGAAGGAAGGACTCACTGGAAAAGGGCCTAATGCTGGGAAAGATTGAGGGTAATAGAAGAAGGGGACGACAGAGAATAAGGTGGCTGGATGGAGTCACTGAAGCAGTAGGTGTGAACTTAAATGGACTCCAGAAGATGGTAGAGGACAGGAAGATCTGAAGGAACGTTGTCCATGGGGTCGCGATGGGTCGGACACGACTTTGCAATTAACAACAAGGTGGGTGGCTACTTGGCCTTAGCCTAGACTGTCTTGGCCCCAGCCAGAAAAATATTACCTTTTAAGCTGTACAGAGCCATTCATTTCCCAGGGCCTGGAGGCTTTTTCTGCCCATTTAATCCTGACAGCCAGAAAATTTGTTCTAATGGTCCCCTCTACCAGGAGGTGCAGCATGAAGAAGAGATCAGATATCAGAATTCTTAGTGGCAGCTCCCCTCCTGTGAAATAGTTGATCCCCTGAGGTGAGGATGGCCCTCACACTCAAGGACTTCTGTGTACAAATATACACAAATTTACCTATATCTGTTTCCTAGTTTTGTTACAATTTATTTGCTGAAGGTTTACAATGTAATTTTATTTCATTGTTTTTTTAATATTTGTAAACCTTCTAGAATTCCTGAGGAAGTGTCTGAAGAGGGGTTGGTGTGGAAGATGTCCTTTTGTTTCTACATAGTGTTTTTTGTGGTGTGTGTGTGTTTGACTGGCTGACTGATATTTCATTCTGACCTTGGATGGAGTAGCACTCAGACCCTTTGGCAAGGAAGGATCAAACCTCTCATTTCATGATACTTGCAATCTTTTATCTTTTATGTTCCATTGCTTTCATTGTACTTCCTTTGTTATGAGCTGCCCAGTCATTACAAGTTTGTTTGTTTATTTATTTATTTATTTAGGAGACTTATATACCGCTTTAAGTGCAAGCACTCTCTAAGCGGTGTACACCAGTAAGCAATGTATATATATATTTACATTGCCCCCAACAATCTGGGTCCTCATTTTACCTACCCCGGAAGGATGGAAGGCTGAGTCAACCTTGAGCCGGTGAGATTTGAACCGCTGACCTGCTGAACACAGTCAGCTAAAGTGGCCTGCAGTACTGCACTCTAACTGCTGCGCCACCTTGTAGGTGACATACAAGATTCATAAATTACAGTAGTTCATTGTGCAGTCAGTGAGATGTTCAGATTGGATTTGGCATTTTTATCCACCTATCAAGTCCCTCCCAAGGTCCTGGAATAGGCAGATGTTGATTTCGGAGGGTGTTGAAGTTATCATTGCAGGATGTAAACTGTTTTGAGTAAAGCTGCTTTTTGCAATTGACTGATGGTGATTTTTTCAGTGCTGATGGTGTTCAAGTGAGGCTCCAGTTGTTTTGGGATTGCATCCAAGGCACCTATTACTATTGATACTACCTTTGCTTTTTTTTTGCTATAATTGTTCTATTTCTATTTGTAGACTTTTGTATTTTGTTTTCTTCTCCAGTTCTTTTTCTTCTTTTCTGCTATCTCCAGGTACTGTCATATCCACTATCTAGACTTTTTTGTCTTTTTTAAAACCAACAATCGTTAAGTCTGGGTTGTTATACAGTAGGTGCCTATCTCTTTAAATTCTAAAGTCCCAGAGCATATTATTATTATTTAAATTGCATAAATACTTAAGAGGCAGTTCTAATTTTCCTGTATATAGCCACAACAATACAGTTTTTGAATTTGCATTTGGTGTACATGCTAGATAATCTTGGCAATAAATAAATACTTAAATAAATAAGCAAACAGAACAGAAAAAATTATTTTGCCAATGAGTAACAATGTTGTTTTTCTGAATTTGATATATCATGAATTGATATTTTTACTTCAAAATATTTTTGATATATCAAGGTGAAATTTACAGAAATGCAAAATTATTAAAAACAAATGTATTTTACTTACCTTGAATTTTGCATCCCTTGTACATAGGAATTAGTTTATCTAAATCTTCTGGAGGTTCAAAAATTGGCTCTAGAGTTGGATCAAAAAGATTCAGCATGGTTGCAGCAAGCTGAAATCCAATCTCTTTTGAACTGAAATTGCTGTGTGTCCATTCATTAGCATAGTAGATATTGGAAAATTTGGTTAAAGGACCTGCAGCTCTGATGCTCACATCATTAGTATGGAAGTTGGTATCAATCACAAGCCTCCCATCATAGACAAGGCATGCATCATTAACTGCTTTGAAAGTCTCATAATCCACTTTTCTTTTGGTAAAGTTAAAGAATGCCTAAAATAAATTGAGGGTCATTAGTCATCCTCTAAAGCAACATCCAGAATACAAATCTGCTTACTCTGACTGTGATTTTTGCTTAATTTGCAACCAGTATTTAAATTTAGCAGAAACTAAACACAAACAGAATGATAGTGAGTATTATTAAAGAATACTTTAATAACATTCTAGACCAGGGGTGTCAAACTGATGGCAAAACCGTGCCACCCCATTGCCGGCAATGGCAAAAAAGTCGCAATATGTCGCAACACGTCATGTGACATTGCGAGTTTGACACGCCTGTTCTAGACAATCACAGATAAGTTCTAGTATGTGGTTAAATAATTTAACTTAGTTTACACTTAGAATCTTTAATGTTCTCTCTCTCTCTCTCTCTCTCTCTCTCCCTCCCTCCCTCCCTCCCCCCCCCTCTTGCGTGGTAACAGAAACTATCAAACTGCAATCTCAAAAGATCCAACAGAAGTTTCAGTCTTCCATATTATGGGCACAATAATCTGCTTAAATATCATCAACTTGGTGTTGATTCTTAGTAAACTCATACATAGAATTTTTTAGGAGGACCTGTCCCAAACCTGGTATCTTCCAATATTGGATCCATTGCTGCTGAACATCCCCTTTTCTTTCCTTCCTTTCTCAGCATTATAGATTACTCCAGAAAACAAGGCTTTTGCATAATGTGTCCAAACTATAATAATTTGAGGCTGGTCATTGTGCCTCAGGGTTGATTTATTTGATAATGCATTTATTTTTTTATCTGGCTATCAAAACACCAAAGTTAAAAAGTAACAATACTCTTTCGGTCCTGCTTCTTCAAATAATTACCTCCAAAAAGCAGAGAACAGGGAACCGAAAAACCTGTTACCTGTGTAATTTGATCTTTGTAGGTTTAGACACATCCTGAATATATTTTCCAGGGTCTTAATGGCTTTTCTACCAAACACCAGTTTGTAGTGTATCTCTTGACTGCTGGCTTCTTTACTGTTGATTCTAAATAGTAGACAGTTGATCATCTATCTACTACCAGTGAGATAGCTACCAGTTGAGCTATCTACCTCTTCAGTATCTTCATTGTCAATTCTAAGGCTGGTACTTGTTGTCAAGTACATTTAATCATAATTCTCTCTTTTTTTCATTTTGCTTCTTTACTACAGCTTGCAAATTATTTGCATTTTCATGTATCAAGATCATTAACATAATGCAAGTTGATGTTTCTTTCTCCATTTTTAAAACCATGCTCATTTTCTTCCAGTCCAGATTTCTTCCATATATATTTCACATATAGGTTGAATGAATGAATGAATGAATGAATCAATCAATCAATCAATCAACCAATGTCTATATTAAGCAGCTTCATCTTATTTATTTGCCAACCTGAAGCCAGTTTGTTTTGTCATGTTCTGTCTATGCTATGGCTTCCTGGTCTGGGTATAGGTTTCACATGAAGACAATGAGATGTTTTGCAATTCCTATTTTTATAAGCACATTCCACATATTGACATGATTAACATGAGTGAAGGCCTTTCTATAATTAATGAGCATCCATTCACTTATTTCTGGTATCTTTGGTTTTCTTAATTATTTAGTATGAATCAGTTCCTCAGCGTTTTCTAAAACCAGACCGCACATCGGGCATCTCCATTTCCCTATTGGACAAACCTAAGGATTATTTTGCTGCTATGAAAAAAAAATTAAACCTTTTTTTGAAAGACTAACAACCTTATATGGACTTCTGTAGAAACAATAAAAGATTGAATTGATGATTTGGGGATTTGGGGAATAAAAAGGGTTAAAAATAGAGGGGAAGGAATTACAAAGTAAGAGAAAAAAAGAAAGGAGAAAGAGTAAGTAAGATGGCAACTACTTGATAGCAATCATATTTTCTTATTTTTCTTTTCTTCTCTTTTTATTTTTATTAATATTTTCTCTATTTTATAGCTTTACTATAATTAAGAATAATTTTTTTTTAAAAAAAAGCACATCTGACATCTCCCTTTTCAAATTTGCATTGGACAAGGATTAGTTTGCTAGTACATGAAGTTAGGAATATGTATGATAGCTGGCAAACTCTTTTACCTCTTTATTTGGTACTGAGATGTGAATTTCTTCCAATTTATTTGCTACATCTATTTTCCATTGCCTGAATTTGCTGGCATAATTCGATTAGAACCAGTACTCATCCTGATTCTATTGCTTGCCATATTTTTATAGCTATTATATTACTTCCTAGCCTTCCAGCCTGGTATCAACCATAGTATTGATCTTATTTCATTTCCCTGCACTAAAGATTGTCATAAGTAGTGAATATTGTCCAAGCCAGGGTTAAGCTATCTTGAATGTTTGTTTGTTTATTTATTTATTACATTAATATGCCACTCTGACTTTGAAATGTCCTCAGCTGTTTCTCAGCCCGTGATCCAATACTGTATCATAAATCATGCTATATTTTCCATCTATATGGTTTTCTTGGTAAAATATAGGAGTGCTTTAGCATTGCCTATTGCTCCGTGGTATGAAATAATGTCCTTGCTATTGTTAATAAATTGATCATCTGCTGCTGCCATCTTCCTATATTGCTGCTTATTTTAGCCAGGTGATCTTGGGTAACAGTGCTGGAAATATGGATTCTTATTTGCTCATCCCTCCCAGGAATAACACCATTACTCCATCAAAAGGATTTTGTGGGTGGAGGCTGAAATCATCTGCTATAGTTTTTTTAAAAATTGGGTTTGGTATACATCACCTGCATAAAATTATGGGAACATGCAGGTATGAAAGGTAGATTATTTTTTGCAGACTTCTCCCAAACTCCAAAGTATAATTTTATTCTGTAAGACAAAACTAGCTTATTCTGCAAGATCAAACAAACCAATACAGTTATGGTTAAAACTTAAAACATAGCGTAATCAAAGACTAAAATACAATTCATACCCGAAGTTCAAGCTAAATTTCAGCCATAGCCAGATTCAGAAGCAGAATTCTAGAGTTCAAGCCTGTTCCAATTGTTCAGTTGATATATATGAAAATGCAGCAAAGGCACATACTTACAGAACATTGCAACTTAAATGGCTTTGTATTAGTAGTGAAAGATGCACATGTGATTGGATCTGGGTGATCACCATCATTCCACTGAGCCAATAGACTATCATGGTGTTCAGTTACACCAGACCTGGACAGTGCTTTCTTGATAGCTCTTTCTATTGCATTGTTATTGAGTGAAGTAATATTGGAGTTCGAGGGAGGGTGCACAAGGTGTAGACGATAGCCACTAATTCCTAACGATAAAAGGGATTCTATAGTGGTGTATACATCAATTGTATTCCCATAGACAATAATATTCCCTGGAGAAAGCAAAAGAAAAAAAAACAGAACAAACCTCATTAATATAATTAATATGATAAATCTGAAGTTATCTGTGACCTCCTTGTTGCTCTGATACTATGAAGTAAACAGAATTACCTAACAATAACAGTTAAAAATAATTTACTAAAAAATCTGCAGAATATATTCCAGAAATAGGAAACAATTTTCATCAAAGCAGGGAAACTTCATTTGTTTGAGATCCATTGGAAAAAGAGGAAAGGGGAAAAAGTACCATCTTTTATCATATCACTTTTGCCAGCCACCCTCTATTTTTGTTTATAAGATTTCCAAATAAAAACAATAAAGTTTAAGTATGATGGGAAATTTGAAAAAACAAAAGGAAAAACATTGCCATCAGAATTCTCTTCACAAGTAGAAAACTTATTTATCCCTCATCTATCTGTTCTCTGTCAACTGTAATGAAATCAATAAAATAGAGGCACCAGAACATAAGACATTAGTGGCCTTCTACTGTACATCCATTTTCACTAATGTAACTCTAAAAATGTTGGGTTGCAATTCTCATCCTCTCTATCCAGCATGGTGGGCATCTAAGTTATTGTATATGAAATCTAAAGAAACTGAAATTCTGTTAAATACTGTAAATACTGTACTGTAAAGTGAAGCTTTCTCTCAACACATAGTTGTTATTTACTGTTATATATTATTTCCTTCCACAGTGGCCTATCTCAACCTTACAATCAGGAGAGGATGATCTACTGATGGGACTATGGCTTGTTGACATTCACTCAGTTGGAGTATGAAGACAATCAATCTCTGTATCCGTGCCCACATTGTAGAAGAAACTTTATTTGGAGTCAGTGAACTCCAAAAATAGAATGTTGTTACCAAAAATTGAAAATTATTTATTTGCCTAGACCAGGGCTTTTCAACCAGTGGTACGGGTACCACCTGTGGTACGTTGGCAATTGGCAGGTGGTACGCGAACATCCTAGAAAAGTAGCGGGGGAAGGGAATGAGCTGAACTAGTAGCAGCACCGCACAAGCCTGAGTGAGAGATGGCTGGAGCTGCAGGGCTGTCAGGGCTCAGCGAAAGCACCAGAATCAGCGCCAGGCTCCAGTTGGAGCTCGGCGCTGATCCTGCTGCTTCTGCTGAGCCCTGAAGAAGCACCAATCAGCTGGAATGTTACAGCCTCTCCAGGGTCTTGTGATTTACATTCAGATGCTTGGCAACCGATTCATATTTATGACGGTCACAGTGCCCCAGGGTCATGTGAAGTGATCAAAACCTGCTGCAACCACCCAGCAGATGGGGGGAATAAAAACCAAACACCCCCACCCCATCTCCGCTGACACCTTGCTAGGCGACTGGTGGTACTCGGATATTGCCATATCCTAAAAGTGATACAATGGGTGAAAGGGTTGAAAAGTCCTGGCCTAGACCTTCTTTTGATGTTATCAGCCACCCTAGTAATTGAATGTTGATTTTTAAAAAGCTGTTTTTGTACTTTATATATAGTTTTAAATATAATATATTCTTCTAAACAATTTTGGTATTTGCAAATTAAAAGTAGTGCAAAAATTATGAAAATGAATAATGAATAACTCTAGTTACTGTTATGGCTTAAATCTAAGTAGACCTAAGATCTATTGACTTAGATTAGCATTTTTCCCCAAGAGCTCATCTTGACTGACAGTATTAGATATATTTCCTCAGTCTGGAATAAGATTTTGGAAGTAAATTTACAAAGCCTATCTAAACTAGCCATGCATTTTTGAGTTTTACCAAAGCTAAAGAATTGATTAAGTAGCAAATAATAGATACCAGTTTGCAGAAAGAATTTTAGGTGCTTCCCTTTTATTTAAAATGGAAATCCTTTGTCCCATCCTGACTAAGTTTTTATATCAGCGGTTCTCAACCTGTGGGTCGCGACCCCATTTGGGGTCGATCGACCATTTCACGGGGGTTGCCAAACAACGCGATCTGCCTTTTTTTGTCAGGGGGCAGTGCCGCACATGCGCGCCACGCAGGGGGCGGCGCATGGGGGCGCCGCCGCGCATGCGCGCCGTGCAGGGGGAGACGCCACACATGCGTGCCGCGCAGGGGGCGACGCCACGCATGCGCGTCGCCTGCTTATGTCCGGGGTCGCCGTATAAAAAGGTTGAGAACCACTGTTTTATATAGATGTGTTACTGTAAAATACTGTAGGTCCTTTACTTTAGCATGTTTTAACATGCTATGTTCAGTCTTACTGAAATAAGTTACCAATATATCCTCTTTACAGAGATGTTTTGTCTCTGGAACAGCTGAAATTATGAATGATAAATTTCATACTGCTGATGTTATGATTAAATTTATCACCTGTATTTAACTCGGCATTTTATTTCTAAATATGTTTCTTTGTAGATTAGAAAATATTTATATATTTATTTTTCAAACCATGATGACATCAGCTTTAGTTACCAAATTCTGCTCCAAAGTTTTTATCATCACATGATTGATAGATAAATGGTATTTTGTGAAACAAACAGGGAAATGAGAAATAAAAGATGCAATTTGGTCACTCTAATTTTTATGTCATTTTATATTACTCTATTTAATGACACTGCTTTATTTTTATATCTTTTGCAAAATAGTTTTATAATGTAATGATAAACTTTAGGTTTAATTTTTTAGCACTTTACTACTTCCTTTAATTCATTTTTATTTTAATACAATTACATTTGATTTTTGGAATTTGTATTGGATAACTGTATACCTTCTAGTGAGGGAAAGCAATAAAAATATTCTGTTTAGCCCAAAATCATTTAGTCCTTTGAAACTTATGCTTGAAACTTAAAACAAAATTTGAATCTTGCTGTGTGTTTCTAGCCTTGCCTTAATGGCTATAATATACTGATTTGCCTCGTTAGTAATCTGGGATGCCTTGTGTCTCCTCATGATCCTAGCTAGTATTACTTTTAACACTTAACCCCATTTTCAAGGACAGAGCTCAATTCTTAAATCTTGACTGAGTTGTTCCCATTGGTACCTTCACATTCTGTTTGGATTTTAGAATGCTATATTCTGTAACACTGCCATGTTAATCTTGGGCCTCATGACTTGGCTGTGAGTCATTTTTATACATTCTTAGCAGATAAATCTGTTGTGTAAAGTGTAAGGTTCCCATAACTAATGGTTTCAGTGATTAAAAAAGGAAACCACACTTAGTTATATATTATTTATATCTTAGGAAAAGTATTTGATTTTTAAAAATCTATCAGTCTCTCCCCACTACTGAACTAAAGTGGCAGCCACCAATACTTGAATCAACACAAAATGAGAGACTAGCATGAAATTTGCCCTGAAGCATTTCATAAAGACAGTGGAGGCCCCATAGTCTTTCATCAAGAAACAGCTGAGAATTTGTGCTCCCTTTTTGTTGGGCAGTAATTGGGTAAATTTAATTTAAGTAACTACATTCAAAATTCAATCAATTTCTAAACAGATGGACAATACATTTACAAATTTGGAAACTGGCATACTTATGATCCATGGAAATGTTAAAACCTGGAAGTGCATGCTTTTTAGTTTGAAGAAGATTTGGAAACCCTGAAGAGAATTATTGCCACTGAATTAAGATCTTAGAAGAAAAGGATCAACTTCATGTAATATATTACAAATCTCCAAACTGTACTAATTAAAATACATGGGCAACTCACCAGAAATAATTAGAAACAATCTACTTTTGATACTGAGCAGCAGAAATCTTTATTTAATTACATGGGAGAATGCATAGGGAAATCCTCCCCTATGTCAGGGGAATCCTACCCTATGTTTTCCCCTATAACCAATAAATTATAATACCAGGGACCAGATTTTACATCTTTTGAGACAAACTACCAAATTGAAATACCATGTATGTAAAGTTATGTTTTATCTAGATCTCCCTTTACAAACAATCTACTTTTTTTGTCTCTCTTGGACAAATCAAAAGATTTATAATACCTTTTGCTACCATGGATCTTTATAGGCCCCACATTTTTCTGTTGAATAATACTTATGGTATTAACTATTAAAAAGGAACAATTTGCAACAACCTAGATTTATACATTCTGAGAACATTACTTTGCAAGAAATACGTATTCTATTAAATGACACCTCTTTTTGAAACCTAGGACTGGGAATAGACAAACTAATATTAATTGATATTCAAATAAAGCGTATATAAGTATCTAAACGCAATTTAAAAACTGATATGGTATCTCAACACTGCAACTTGAAAAATTCATTATTTTTGTGATAGCAAAGATAGCTACTGTCACCCTTGTTCCAATTTACTTTTATGGCCCATTAAGAATATTACTGAAATAATTCAAAGCCTTTTTCTAAATTATATTCTGCAAACTATCAGTATATAATTTATTCACCTCAATTTAGGGCTTTTAGGAGTCACAGATATCAACATGATTATATTTGCATTTGTTCTGCCTTGGTAGATCAGCTTAGGGATTCTTCAACATGTTCCCCTGAAATTTCAGACCAGGCTTTAGTGACTATAACTGGGAAATTTAATAATTATAAATCAGCCAATTCTAGATGGTACAAATAGTCCATGTTTAACAATTGCCTTGGACAGCAACCGTTCACAATTATGATAGTGATGAAAATGTAACTTCTGATTTTTGTAGGTATAGACAAAGAATTGGAATATCCAAAGTTTTTAATGGGGTGAGGTGTTAAGAAATGTAAAACATATTTTTTATAATTTGAAATTTAAATTAATTCATCAAAAACATTATGTATTTATTGGACACTGAAAGAATGTTGTAAAATGGATCAAAATATAAGTTTGCTATCTATTTTTGAAAATTTCCTTTGTCCTAAAAATGAGATGAAGAAATATTTATATAGTCTAGATTTAATAATAAGCTTAACGGTTGAATTAATTTTATATGCCTGGTTATTATATCAAACTTTTTTTCCTTTGTTAATTTAGTTTTTCTTTATCAATTTTTTAATGATTATAATATATTTAGGGACTTTTTTTGTTCAATGAATCAATCAGTATCATTTTTCTTGTTGGCATTATAGGGGTTTTTTGCATGTCAACATAAATTTAAAAAATAATTAAATAAAAGCTGCATTCAATTTATTGTAATTTATACGTTTGTACAACACAGCAACAAATTTTGGCTAAGATGAAACAGGAGTTTTTGGTTCAGTGATATGTTAACACAGCCTTTCTTCATCACCTAAACTTAGGAGATTGTTAGGTGGATTATATGTATATTAAAAAAACTAATATTACAAACTTATACAGATATTAAAAGCAAAATTTTATACTTGGGTGCACATGTACAGTACGTGCACACAAGCATATACACAAAGAAGGACGCACACATGGCACTGCTTACTATCAAGTCAGGAGCAAAAGTAAAGGCAGTTTCCCTGAAATAATATGGCATGCAAAATATTCTTTATGTTTCTTCCCCCACAGAATGCATTCTGTCTGTCAGGTCCCAAAGGGATAGATCTAACAGAATAAGTAATTAGTAAATGGGACTGAATTGACCGGATTTGTCAATGCAGAAGCATTTTTTTCCTAATATCAATCAAATAAACTAAACTAAGAAACAAGACAGATTGAAAAGACATCTTTCCCGTAATTGCAGATACAAGCAGGAGATTGTACACCATATCATATACTCCATCACTTGCTCCTCAAAAGATAAGACTTGGTTCCCCAAATAAAAGACATACCAGTACAAGTAAATTTATTCATCACACTTGCAATAAACAAAGCAAGTTGTAAAAAGTATTCTGTTTAGTTTTACAAAAATCAACATACAACCACATCATTATGAATGGGCATATGAAATGGTATTGTATATCCATAAAAACCCTGGTTCCTTATAGTATAGATCTTGTTTTTCTTTACTGTACACAGCAAGGATGAAAAAGGAGCAGAGGATTCAAGGACTGTCATCTGATCATTTTTCAGACGTTTTGTCCAACAAAAAGAGTCAGTAAGGAGAAATTGAAAGCATCTATCATTGCAGAAACAAAAGTTTAAAAAAGAGGTAATCTGGCAGAGAAACTCCACATTGGAGGAGTGAATTAATACACACTCAATGCTATTTCCAACATGGAAATAAAGGAGCTCAAAAGAAAAAAGGGCTAATAATGAGCAGCTGTTAGCAGCCAGTTCTGGAGCCAGTTGCAGAAGAAACAATTACAGGTAGTCCTCGACTTATGACCACAATTGAACCAAAAATTTCTGTTGCTGAGATATTTGTTAAGTGAGTTTTGCCCCATTTTACGACCTTTCTTGCCACCTTTGTGGAGTGAATCACTGCAGTTGTTAAGTTAGTAATGCTGTTGTTAAATGAATCTGGCTTTCCCGTTGACTTTGCTTGTCAGACGGTTACAAAAGGTGATCGCTGAGCCCAGGATATTGCAACTGTTAATAAATATGAGTCAGCTGCCAAGCATCCGAATTGTATCATACAATTGGGGATGCTGCAATGTTTGTAAGTGTGAAAAATGGTCATAAATCACCTTTTTCAATGCTGTTGTAACTTCAAATGGTCACTAAATTAACTGTTGTAAATCGAGGACTATCTAATTGCCTAATTCCAGCTCAGAAGATACCACTCCCTCCTCCTTCAGTACAAATGGTCACTGAAAGAAAACTGAACTGTGCTTTTGACAAAAGTAACACATCTGAGGCAAATACGTGCAATCAATGGCACCTACGACTTCAGACAGCACAAGCTGAGTACAAGATTCAGGTTATGTTTTATGTCCAATACCTGGCGATATGTTTTGCTCCATGTAGCATAACAAATATGCTATACAAAAGAACAAGTAAGAAATTATTTGGGGAAAAGAAGGCAATAAATTTAACTAAAATGAATTCATTCTTTGCATCCAAGTCTTCTGCCATCCATTCATGCATATATTTTCTAATTCCCAGATTATCAGCAATTAGCAACAGAAATTCACTGATTCCCATAAGGCAGCTTATATGATAATTAGTTGCTTTAGAGAAATTGATTAAAAGTAGAAAAGTAGAAATCTAAAGGAAGTTTGTACTGCTCATCTTAGGATACAGTGGGATCTCATTCCATATTTATTTATTTATTTTTAAAATTTATAAGCCGCCCCACTCCCGAAAGACTCTGGGCGGCTAACAATAAAAAACACATAAAACATAACAAAACAACAATACAAAAACAATCATCCAGGGGTAAGGTTTTATAAACCCCAGGCCTGCCGGAAAAGCCAGGTCTTAAGTAGCTTACGGAAGACCAACAGGGTGGGAGCGGTCCTAATCTCCGGGGGGGAGCTGATTCCAAAGCATCACAGGGGCCCTCCTCCGCGGCCCCGCCAAATGGCACTGCTTGGCCGACGGGGCCTGAAGGAGGCCCAGCCTGTGGGATCTAACCGGACGTAGGGAACTATGAGGTAGTAGGCGATCTCGCAAATAGCCTGGCCCTGAGCCATATAGGGCTTTAAAGGTAATGACCAACACCTTGAATTGGACCTGGAGACCAATAGGCAACCAGTGCAGCTCACGGAGGAGAGGTGTAACGTGGGTGTATCGAGGAGCACCCACTATCACTCGCGCGGCTGCATTCTGGACCAACTGTAGTCTCCGAATACTTTTCAAGGGTAGCCCCATGTAGAGCACGTTGCAGTAGTCCAAATGTGAGGTGACAAGGGCGTGAGTGACTGTAAGGAGAGCCTCCTGGTCCAGGTAGGGTCGCAACTGGTGCAACAGGCGGACTTGTGCAAAGGTCCTCCCAGCCACAGCCGTCAATTGATGTTCCAAATTCAGCTGTGGATCAAGGAGGACACCCAAGTTGCGAACCTGCTCTGAAGGGGGTATATTCATATCAGCCCATATCTATATAATGAAACATTAAGCAGATCCATTGCTTGCTTTGAATATTTCTGTAATGCCATTCTGTTTCTGGATCCTGCAAATATAGGTAGATTTACAGAACCCAACCCAAATATAGAAGCCATCTTGGTAAATCAGGTACATGCAACTTAATGAAAGGCTGCATTTGTATCCATATAAACATAACACACGTGGCATTAGCCAACTGTAGTACCTGTCAGAATCCAATTATATTTCATTTCTAGTTATTGATTATGGAAAACCCCATTTCTGCCCTCTCTGGATTCTGTCATACTACGAAGGGAAGGGGGATGAGCAAAGGGGTTTTATGGCTCTCACTTCCTTCATTAAAACTTCAAAGGGACTGAATGTGGATCTCACCAAGAGGACTGACCATAACCATATGGCCATCAGCTTTCATCTACTACTCTCTGAAGTTTCCCTTCTGCCGGCCGTGAGGAAAAGGGGGTGGAAATGTAATGCCTGGGATTGTTGCTGGAAGGAAGGTGGGGTGGGGGCTGCTTGGGAACACTTAAAACCTTGAATGGTAGGTGTTGGCCCCTCAGATCCTATCTAGAATGCCTGCAATCATCTTCTCTTAATAAAGATGCCTGTTGGAAGAAATATTCCAAGAGTTCTGTCTTTTTAAGATGTAAAATGGGGTGGGTCCTTACAGTACCTTTTACATTATGCAGCTAGTTCTATATTAAATTCCCCAAAGTCAAATTTTCTTTTCTTTTCAGTTTTTTCAGCCTAAAAAAACCTTGTGTCTAGCTGCAAAAAACATTTACTAATGATATTATTATCTCATGTGTTAATTAACAATCCCAGATTTTGTGCTTGGGTTTTTCATTTCATTTAATCTAATTTCATAAAGTAATTACAGATAATTCTTACTTTGTCTTTGTTCCAGGTAAAAAATATAAATGTCTCAAAAATTGACAGTAAATTGTAAATTAATCTGTACAATAAATAAGAGCAGATGAAACAGTTTGCAAAGATCAGTTAAGCTATAGCTATATGCTAGAAATAGAGATGCAACTTGCCAAGAAATATATAAACCTCTGCTCTCTTCATGTAGTAGTTCGTAAAACTGTTACCTGTGGAATCAACCACTTTTTCTTTCAGCCACTTGATTGCTGCTAATGCATCTTCATCATCAGAAATAATAAAAAGATTGGAGGGCACTATTCCTGTGTACCTTTGTTTATAATTGGTTGATACCTCTCTAGTGGTTAACAATTTTTTGATATCTGCACCAGTAGGACATGGGACCTATATTTATAGACAAATAAATATTATTAATCATAAAACTCTATTTTTTTCCCCAGATACCACTTTTTATTAAAATATATTTGTTTCAGCAATTCACATTTTTGTAATAAATGAGCTATAAAACTACTAAGCAAGCAGTAATTCAGCAGCCAATTCCATAAAAGAGGAAATGTACTACATCTACCTGAGAAAATAAACATATTTTAATTAAACAGAAATATTAATGTTATAGAGACTTGACAAATGAATCTGGGTCATGAGGTCTACAGGCAAAATACAGATTTTATTTTAACAGATGTTACTGTTGTGTTCAATCTCCTAACCTCCAAATATTGAGACAAAATTGAGAAAGAACCATATCGAAGACATTTAAATTATACATACTAGTCTTACACTTATTTTCAGTGATACTCTAAACTTGTCTCATCTCAAGAATGAAAACTAATGATTAAATCTGCCAAAAGGACCACCAGCTTGTCTGAATAAATTTTTCATTTTAATCTATTAATTATAACTGAATCCTATTGGAAAAGGAAAAAAATCAGAATGGTTAGAAAGCTGTTTCCCCCCCTATGCATTATATTTACAGTATTACAAAATTTGAAAGGATATTGGAGGCTAGCCCTTCTTCACCCAGGATCTACGACAGGGGTGTCAAACTCAATTTAATTGAGGGCTGCATCAGCATTGCGGTTGCCCTCAGGAGGCCAGGTGGGTGTGGCCAGGGTGGGTGTGGCCTACTGGGTGGGCGTGGATAGAGTGAGTGTGGCCTACTGGGTGGGTGTGACCAGCTTTACATCATTCGTGTCAAGGGTGCCTGGGGGGTCTGGGCAGGAGTGGGATAGATATATATATATGTAGGTCTTTGGTTATTTGGGTTTTCTCCCGCGTCAAATTGGAAGTGTCTTGGCGACGTTTCGACAAAGTCTCATTCATCATCTTCAGGCTGGTGTTTTCGGCTTCGTGCTTCTAGGAGCAATGTGTGATCATAGCTGTTTCTTCCTTTTAACTGCCAGTGGGGGTATGAACTGATTGGATAAGAGCTTGGCTGTGTTCTGATTGGATGGAGGTGTGTTCTGATTGGTTAGGAGCTCAGCTGTGCTCTGATTGGGTGGGGGAGTGTTCTGTTTGGGTGGGGGCTTTGTTGTGCTCAGGTTAATCTGAGTTGCAGGGGGATGTGAGATGGTGAGTATTGCTATTGTTTGGCTTCGCGTTCGTGGTCGTGCCTCATCTTCATGGTGGATGTCAGTTTGCTTCATGTATAGATTGGAGGGTTTAAAGTGGCTTATGATGCAGTTGTGATCTGGCTTCTGGTTTGTGGTCGTGCCTCATCATCGGTGTCTACAAGAAATCCAATGGCTCCCTAGGACACACCATCTACCAGAAGAAAACACACACAAACCGCTATCTGCACGCCCTCTCACACCACCACCCAGCACAGATCAACTCCGTAGCCAAGACACTCATCTCTAGAACAAAACGCTTAGCTGATGAACAACACCTAAAAACCGAACTACACACTCTCACTAATGTACTTACATCCAATGGATTCCAAAGAAATAAGATTACCAAACTAATCCAAAAAGAAACCCCCACTAAAATCCAAGACAGAGAACAAGAAAACAGCAAAGCCCTCCTCCCTTACATAAAAGGCACCACAGACAGAATCAGCAAGATCCTCCACAAACACAACATTAAGACAACATTCTGCACAAACAGAAAAATATCCACCATCCTAAGAAACCCCAAAGACAAAATTGAATTAGAAAATCAAGGAGTATACGAAATCCCATGCACCGCTTGTCCACCACATACATCGGACAAACCAACAGAAGAATAAGTGCACGCATTGAAGAACATAAGAACTTAGTCAAAAAGAGGAATCAACTTCTTCCCTAGTCCAACACCTTAAAATCACAGAACATGAAATTGACTTTAAAAAGACCAGAACTATCGCCAAAACTGAACACTTTAATAACAGAATAATCAGAGAAGCCATCGAGATAGAAAAACGCCCACACAGCATGAACAAACGAGATGATATCTCCCACCTACTAGCCATTTGGAAACCCACCCTTATTGACAAACGAGTCCCTAACACAAAGAATTACACCAGACCCATACTCACGAAAGCCACACAGGATGCCATCACCACATGTCCATGCAAAAAGCAAACCCAAACCCACACTGATGATGAGGCATGACCACAAACCAGAAGCCAGACCACAACTGCATCATTAGCCACTTTAAACCCCTCCAATCCATACATGAAGCAAACTGACACCCACCATGAAGATGAGGCACGACCACGAACGTGAAGCCAAACAATAGCAATGCTCACCATCTCACATCCCCCTGCAACTCAGATTAACCTGAGCACAACAAAGCCCCCACCCAAACAGAACACTCCCCCATCCAATCAAAGCACAGCTAACCCCCATCCAATCACAGCACAGCCAAGCTCCTAACCAATCAGAACACACCCATCCAATCAGAACACAGCCAAGCTCTCATCCAATTAGTTCATACCCCCACTGGCAGTAAAAGGAAGAAACAGCTATGATCACACATTGCTCCTAGAAGCACGAAGCCGAAAACACCAGCCTGAAGATGACGAATGAGACTTCGTCGAAACGTCGTCAAGACACTTCCAATTTGACGCGGGAGAAAACCCAAATAACCAAAGACCTACATATAAACACCTGCGAAAACCTCAGAAAACAAATGTATGTATGTATGTATGTATGTATGTATGTATGTATGTATGTATGTTCTGGAATTGAAAAAACGTTCAGTTATGGGAATGGAATTTTGAAGTGCTTAAATTGATTAGGTGATTTTTGTGTATAACAATATGATCTGATAAGGTATGATAATTAATTGGATGGAATTTGAAATTTGTGTAATGAATTGAAAGAAATTAAGTTTTAACATTATTTTTTTTAATTAAGTTAGTTATTATTGGAAGAAGAAATGAATGAGATTGGTGATAAAAAGAGGAATGAGAGAGATTAAGAACTTTAACATATCTGGTAGAGATATTCGAAGTAATAATTTGTTGATGTAAAACAATATTTGATTATGGTAATTGATAAAGTTTTAAAACAGGTTGAGTAGTAATAGAAATCTAAGCTAGAAATGGAATATATTAAATTTATTATGTTATCTGTGGGAAATAGATGATAGTGAATGTATTAAGTTGAGCGGTTTATCTATGTTTTTTACTTTGGTATTTTGTTTACCCAAACACCACAGTGTGTCTTAAGTACTGTTTGTTAAAATTAAAAAACCAATAAAATATATTAAAAAAAAAAGAAAATCTGCCTTTGTTGAAGACATGAAGGAATCTGGTAAGGAAATATCTATCTCTGAAGCAATGTTCCAGGGATCACTAATTGTCTACTAAGAATAAATAGTTTGTTGAGGAGCCTTGGAATTCCATCTCTGCAAGATTTGTCAAATCAAATAAATCAAATCAGATCAAAGACAAATTCTTATGCTTCTTATGCTGCAACAGTACTGAACTTAGTAGTATAGGCTCTCATTTGTTGATAGATTATCTAAATCTGGGACTCGTTCTGAGATTTTCATAAGATTTCTAATAAGCTACAAACTACAACTACTTTTATATTGAATTCATTCATGATAATTTTTACTAACAGTCATTGTTTTTTATTCTTATAGACTATTTCTTAAACTATTTGCTCAATTAAGCATGGAATCACAGTCTTGAACATGGTATATACTAAAAAGAGGATAAAAATAAGTTTTAAAAAGTATTTTGGATGTGAAAAAACAAATCATGTTTCAAACATATATGCAGTATAAATTAATTAATCTGAGTTCAACGGAAATTTCTCCCACTTAACTATGTATAGGACTTAATATTTGGACTTACCTGATACTGTTGGCCAGTGCAGAGAATGAGATGATCATATAGCACTTTTTTCCCCTTGGAAATTATTACATGTTTTGCAGATCTGTTTATAGCAATCATTTTTCCAGCCACAACATTAATCCATGAACCAAGTGACATCAATGCATAATCATCCTCATTAAAACAATAACTGTGAAGAAACAAGTTCATTTTAGTAATTGTATATAATTATTAATTATATTCTGCTCAATTGATTAACATCCCATAATACATCAAGTCCTCTTGTTCCCTTTCAGAAAGTTTACTGAGGTCCATAGTAAGGGATGGTATTTATACTAACAACAAGCTGACATTTCATTTTTTACTCTCAGCTGAGATACTATTCTTTTTTTTAATTTCAGCTGGGATTTTGTTTTCATTTTCAAATTTTATTTATCTATCATTTTTAATATATCTGTGGATTGCAAACTATATCAAGAGGGCAATATCAATATTAGTCACAGAAGAGACTAAAAAGAGAACTCAGAACTCCCAGAATTCCTGACAGTGTAAACTATTAACCAGTGAAATGGCTTCCAAAAGAGTATAGGTCCCTTCAACTCTGTTACTCTATTATTCTAGAAGACTAACATCTAAGAATAGAAATTTCAATTTAATTTTCTTTTTAAAACATCTTCTGAATTTTGGCAATTATGAAAATAAACTTCTAGAATTTTTAAAATTTGGGGGGGGGGAATCCTTTAAAGAGATGGCTTGATGTTCCAACTGATGGCACAACTGAGAGGTGACCCAGCTGTGAAGCAGCCCAGTGTCCTAGCTGAGAGCACAGCAGCCCAGCTGAAGATAGACAGGTGGCCCAGTGATTCAGCCGGGCAGCTGAGTGCAGACGGTGAGATGCAAAGGGAAGCCATCTCTCCGTCTCTCATTTTCACTTTGTGGGGTACCACAAAGTTCTCTCTTTAGGCCCAGTACTCTTCAATATCTTCATAAATGGCTTAGATGAGGGAGTAAAAGGAATACTCATCAAATTTGCAGATGACTCTAAGCTGGCAGGAATAGCCAACACCCCAGAAGACAAGCTCAGGATCCAAAAAGATCTTGACAGACTTGAACAATGGGTCCAGTCCAACAAAATGAAATTTAATGTGGAGGAAAAAGGTTTTACACGTAGGCAGGAAAAACCAAAGGTACGAATACAGATTAGGCGAAACCTGGTTAAAAACAGTAACTGTGAGAGGGACCTTCGAATTTTACTGGATGATCACTTAAAAATGAGCCAGCAGTGTGTGGCAGTAGCCAAAAAAGCTAATACAATCTTGGTTGTATAAAGAGAGGCGGAGAATCAAAATCATGTGAAATATTAGTACAGCTTTATAAAGCCTTAATAAGGCCACATCTGGAATACTGCATCTAGTTTTAGTCACATTACAAAAAAGATGTTGAGACTTGGAAAAAAAAGTGCAAAGAAGAGCAACTATTAAAGGCCTGGAGACAAAAACATATGAAGAACAGTTGCAGGATTTGGGTTTGGCTAGTCTAGAGAAAAGAAGGTCTGGGAGGATATGTTAATATTCCAGTATTTGAGAGGTTGCCAAAAAGAAGAATAGAATAGAATAGAATAGAAGCTGGAAGGGACTTTGGAGGTCTTCTAGTCCAGCCCCCTGCTTGAGCAGGAGAACCTATATCATTTCAGACAAGTGACTGTCTAGTCTCTTCTTAAAAATCTAAATAAAAGCAATTTATTTTCCATCAGATTGAATGAGAATGGTCTGGAGAAAAAGTGATATAAATATTTGACATAGTAGTTCTTAAACTAGCTTGGAATACTGGAGGTAAATGTCTTGTCATATACATGTTTGTTTTTTTTAAAAAAAGGTTAAAGGGCAAGAAATAACTTTCTTTTTAAACATGTATTTTATTATATAAAAGTTCTACGTAAATATAGTCATCTTACACTGATTTACAATAAAGGCTTTACTTCTTTACTATCTCCTTGCTCCGTGAATGAGGGACCTGACTAGTTGAGCCTTCCAGATCTTTTCCTTAGGTCTACAGAAGAACATTCCTTCTGTTGGGATCTTCATCATTCATTTTCAACATTCATCATGTCATTCTCTGTTTTCCCAAAGATAAATGGGTTTTCCTTCAAAATCCACAATATTACCAACATTGTATTTTCTTCTCCATTTCTAGAGTAGCTTCTTCTTATCCCATCTCTATTCTGTTTTTTCCCCCTGTTTTGCTACTTTTGCTAAAAAGAAGAGGAAAGGATTACCGAAGGCATCGCTATAGTTTTTTAAAGCAAAACAAGGATAGTGATTTAGCAAAGGGCAAAACCTGAAATCCATGACAAGGGGAGTGCAAATGTTAGAACTAAATTTAATTACCTCATTACTATATAAATGTACTGTATAGCATCAGAAGTATATTTTACCATTATAAAATAATGTTTATGTTTGTCTTTTTGGCAGTATTGAAAATGCTCCAAACAAACCTGTTGATTAAAAATCGCTTATGCATATTATTTGATTCACTTTTCCCTGGAAGGCCATGAGTTGAAATCAATGTAAGGTTGTTGAATTTCAGGTGTGGGCTACAAAAAAAAAAAGAATACCAATTTTTTTTTTAAATTTACTTCAGTTATTTTTAATTCATATTATTGATGAGCAATTGAAATGTCAACTAAATTATGTTTTTTGGTGCTCAGAATTCATATATCTTATGCAAATATGCACTGGTGTTTATATTAACTTTCACAAACTATGTTGATACCATTAATAGTAACACTAGTAATAGCTGCTGCTACACATAGTCCTCGACTTACAACTATTTGCTTAATGATGGTTTGAATTAATGATGGTCTCTGAAAAAAACAGTTACAACCTAAATTTGAACTTACAACTTTTGCCCCGCCCCCATAATCATATGATCACAATTCAGGCACTTGGCTGTGGTCACGTGATTGATTTGCAACTTTTTTTGCCAGTTTCCCCCAAAAGTGTATTAGTTAATCTGGGTTTGCACTTACAATCACATGACTTAACTTACAACCATAGTGACTCGACTTATGACCATTGTAAAATGATTGTAAAAGCGAGTGTGGTCATGTGATAACTTGACTTATGTGACTGCAAAGATGGAAATTCCAGTCCAACTGAAATCATAAGTTGAGGGTTACCGGTATTATCACAATTGCCTTTATAATCATCACCTATACACCTATAGACCTAAGTGCTAATGAGAATGCTCAAGTTTGGGGTGAAAGGAAATAATATTGGATGAAATAAAGGGACTTCTATTTTGAAAATATCTGTTTCATCTTCCTTAACAGAAGATCTGGGCTAACAAATCTTCATCAGTTCCCAGTTTCTTTCCTGTGTAGCTCAAAACTATGGCCTGCAATGTTGTATTATGTGAATAGGCTTTGGGTTGTAAATTCCCCACTTTTCTGTTCTCCAGCATCATCATGAATAGATCAGAAGTTTGTTTTGATCAAACAAATGGAATCAAGTTGTGCTCTATAATTCAGTAATGTTTGCCACCCATAATTTAAACAAGGGGAAGCAGAAGTTAAATCAGAATCTGTTACTAGGTAACTAGATAATTTACAAAATATACAACAAACAGACATTCCTAGCAGCGTTTAATAGCATTGGTTATGGTTATTCCCTATTGCCACATGTATATATATATGCAAGTTTTTCAATTACATATTTTTAACTCAATCTAAATGGACTCTGGACAGAATAAAAATTAAAACAATAAATAGACAATAGCACGCAATATAAATAATTAAAATACCATCAACACACAATATAAAACCGGTAGGTATCCATAAACCAAACTAATCTAGGAGGCAAATCTCTTCTGGAAAAGCTTTGCTTTAGCTGATTTTCAAAATTCCAAAATAGGGGCTTTGCATACTTTCTGGGACGAGTATTCAATAGAATTCAAGCTGTCCTAAAATTAAAAAAAAAAAGGATGGACAGCAACCAAAAAGCAATTTTTACAGCAACGATTTGTTAATTCTGGTACTCAAAATAATTCCTGGGTTTATGTATTTGTTACATTTATATCCCATCTTTTTATAGAAGCTCAAGATAGAGTACAAAGTATTCTAAGGCAGGGCTTTTCAACCTTTTCACAGATTGTACTACTTTTAGGACATGACAATATTTGAGTACCACCGGTGCTTGGTAAGGTATCAAAAACCTGATGACCAAAAAAAAAAAAAAAAAAAAAGGGAAAAAAGTACCGGTTTTAATTTCTTCAGTGGTAGCTCCTTTGCTGAATCACTTTCCTTTGCCCTGATGAACATATCACAAATTTATCCATATTTATTAATATGCATCACTACCTTGGTGGCCAGGTGACTGATCAGCCCTTCTTCCTCTCTCCCTCTGCTCTCTGTCTCTTTCACAGCCTCTGCTCCTTCGTTGACCCCTCTGCTTGTCTCACAGAAGACTCTCCTCTTCTCTCTCTCTCTCTCTCTCTCCATCCCCTTCTCTTTCCTCATCATCTTTTTTTTCTCTCCCTCTCCCGCCAAAACCTCCTCCTTTTATATCCTCTCCTCTCTCCCCCATCCTCCTTTTCTCTTCCAAGTGCGTCACTCTCTAGGGCTCACGGAGACTCCAGCATCAGTCATTACCCCAGTCTCACTCCCTCATGCAGTCACCCACTCCCAGGCTAGCCATTGCACATAGAACTGATCAGTTGGAGCTGTCCTCTGATCCTGGGGCCTCTGTTGAGCCCTGGCAGCCCTGTAGCTCCAGCTGACTCTCTCACCCCAAGCAGCACCCTATCTGCTGCTCCCAGCGATAGCAGAGGCTGGCGGAAGCACCAATCAGCTGGAGCTGCGCACACCAATCCTGGGCCCTCAGCAGAGTGCTGGCAACACCGCAGCTCCATCTGACTCTCCGCCCAAAGACTGTGTGTGGCAGCCAGCCACCCCTGAGGCCGCTGTAAGTATCAATCAGCTGGAATCTAGCACGCCAATCTTGGGCCCTCAACACAGCCCCAGCTGAGTTTCCCTCAGGTCTGTGAAGCGTTGCCATCACTTCAGCTCATCCCACCCGCTACACTTGTCTAGGTCGCATACCACCTGCCAGGTACCGAAGTACCACTAGTGGTATATGTATCACCGATTGGAAAGCCCTGTTCTAAGCTGTTTCCCAATTTCTTCTTCTATAAGAATACATTGGGTGTTATTTCTGGATTTCTTTTCTTCGCAGCTTCTGGTTGAATCCAACCATTTTCATATCTGATCTTCCTCCCCTGCCCAGATTTAGTTACATTTTGTCCTGTTTTCAGAGAACTAACCTGCTGATGGACAGATGGATAAGCAGTCTGAAGGAGGTAATGTGAAGCTCCCTTAATAATTTCTTTCTTTATAACATTCCTTTGGATTGGAAAGAGAAAAGTAGAGAAAGCATTCAGAGCTTGACTTCTTGAATTCCTCCCAAAAACTTTTTTAGCAGTTGCCATGGGCAGTTTCTCTACATTTTCTATGTAATGAATTAATGTATTAGTCCATGTGTGCTGTGTGAATCTGCTTTCCTCTGTTGCAACTGTATGTGTGGTCTGTGTACAGGGAAACAGAGAGCCAGACATACACGGTATGTTCTGCTCTGGGTTACATGAACAGAGGGGAGGAGAGAGGGGGACTTAATATGAAATAACCAGCAGCATTCCAAGTCACTGCCCAACTGCTTCCCTCATAAGGAGGCATTAGGGGACTTTTTTTCTAGAATGTTTTACTCTGCAGGAGCAGATTTGGTTCCCATTTTACTTTGATGTGTTTCTTTTGGCAGCTTCTCTCACCTTACCAAATTTGGTCCCATTACATTCAGTTTTCAGACGAACAGACAGAGTTCTTCTCATCTCTTTTACTCAGCGTGTTCCATTAAGATGGCAAGAATAAAGAGGAAAGACCTAGAGCTAGTTATTAGGAATCCACTTCTGCAGATGACACTGAAGCATGTGGATTGCAAATGGCAGCTGCAATTCTCTTCTGGCTTACTAGACAACAACCTCGTTAAAGAAATACATTAACCTTAATTACAGCATTTGGACGGAGACTTTCACATCATGTCTATATCATGCTAAATATATACAATCTTTACATGTCATTAAACAAAATAATAGCTTAAAAAGGTAATCTCTTATGCCAAATTTTCCAGCTCAGATATATTAGTCAATTGAATTGAAATAATAATAATAAAGTTGGAAGGGACTTTGGAGGTCATCTAGTCCAACCCACTGCTCAGGCAGGAAACCCAGTGCAGAAGTTTTCAGTGTACATGCAAAGCAATGGAATAATAATAATAATAATAATAGAGTAAGCAGGATAATAAGGATAAATAATAATGCTATAGTCATACTACTTGGGTAAATACACATAAACATTAGACAGCACTGTTAGAATTAGATGTTCCACAGAGTGAAGAAAACTCGTCTTTGTGTCTAGTTGTTTTGGCCTGCAATGCCCTGTAGTATCGTCCTGAGAGAAGGAGTTGAACCAGTTTATGTCCAGAATGTGAAGGTCTGCAGATATCTTCTCAGCCCTCCTTCTGACCTGTGTAATGTACAGGTCTGTGGAAGGCAGGCCAGTTGCAATTATTCTTTCTGCAGTCTTAACTATCTGTGCCTGGCCTGTTTGGCTTCTGTACCAAACCTGAGAATTACAGAGGTACAAATGGCAAACTCAATAATTCCTCTGTAAAACTGTATGAACAGCTCCTGGGGCAGTCTGAATTTCCTGAGTTGACGTAGGTAGAACACTCTTTGTTGTGCCTTTTTAATGATGGTTCTTGGAACAATATAAGATTCCTAGTGTCTGTCAAAAGGCTAAAGTTGTAGCAGTTTTAAAACCAGGTAAAGGGGCCAATAACTTTAAGAAGTACTGCCCAATTTCCATCTTGTGCCATACCTACAAACTTTAAAACAATGGTACAAAATCACCTCACTGTAATCATAGAAGCCTTTTCATACAGAAGGCTTGATTTCACCCTGAAAAATTTAACCCAGTATATGGAAGATGTATTCCAAAAGGACAATGTAACAGGAACTAGTTTCTGGGCAAGATCTGTTTAATTTGTACATAATTTAATCTTGTATTTTATATTTTAAATTTTATGTCATAGAGTATGCCTTATTTTAATTGTGATGCTTCTGACACGAATAAACAAATGATGGTTCTAATTTTAAGGGTCATTTCAAGTCCTGGGAGATTATTTGAAGGACTCTATTGTTGATACTATGGTGTTAAATATGGTAAGTGTTATGTCCTGGGCCGGCAGCCACAGGCTGCAGCAATTTGCCCAGGCAGACCATGTGGATGCCCGGGACAAGAAAGGCTGCTCTCAGCCTTGCGTGCATACGCACGGTGGGAAAAGAGCCTTTGCAATGATTGGCCAGCAAGGTATTTTGCAGGGGGGGCTATAAAAGGGGGCCGCACCATTTTAAAAGCTGTTCTGTTGGTGTTTGCAATAAAGGAGAACTGTTGGAACTCGTTGCTTCATCTCAATGCCTCGTTTCCTAAAACAGAACAGTAAGAGATGGCAAAATAGAAGGGCTCCCCCTAAAATCCATTTT